AAAGTACGTTGGGGGCCTAACCAATGTTAGCGCCACAATACGCACGAGGCTGGTCGAAGAAAGCTTCTGGATCCCGCGGCTCGCGGGAAACATTTTTCTCACCATCAGGACCCTCAGGCCCAACCAAGCCTCTGCGGAATGGATCACACCAGGTAAGAAGAAAAAACGCCCCGTTTCCGATCACGCTTCATCCCTGCGCCTACGCGGATATGGTGCCGGGCCCAAGACGCACGGTAGGACTGTCGTCGGGGTTCGGAGCGGGCCTCTTTCGGTGATGGTCACGACATCTGCATAACCCTCATTTGAGCAGCCCATCGGCCATCCCGAATCGTAGGGCTAGTCGCCGCTTGCTTTCCCCGGTGCTTAGCCTTGAGTTAAATCCGATGGTGATGACAAGGTTGAAGAGCAAATATTCATTCAGCCTCTGAAGTAATCTCCATCCATCAGTGCACTCGGAACGAAGGTGGAGGAGTCTGTGATGGTTTTGGCGGGTTAGGTCGGAAAGGCCCGCAAAATCCATTCTGATCGTATTCAGTACGGTATTTGGAGAAATTCCGGGGCTCTACGATATGTTCTCAGCCTGGATCGTATTCTACCAAAGTTCTTCCAGACTTGTCATCAAAAAATTGGAACCTGAATCCTGGGAGATGCTTACGACATCTAATTCCAACACTATCGATAACCCTTCAGTCTATATTCCAAGGCTTCAAAGTGCACTACTGATACCCGTCGTTAACATTTGGCCGTGTCAAATATGGTCTAAATCCTGACAGTTGATTTCGATATTGTCCATGTAATATGAATGAACAAACATGTGGCCAAAAGTGTGGGCGTGACGCTTCAGTCTCGTCGAAGCATGATTTCCCCAGCCTGCAGTGTATGCACCAGCTTAGCAAATATCATATCTCAAGATCATGTCTAAACTCATGAATCTTCCCTGGACGCAATTTTGGGTACTTGTGCCGATATCCTGTGAGGGCAACCAAGTTTTCAGGGGGTTTTTTTTTTCTCCCTGGTGTAACTCCGTGAGCCGCATTAGGTGAGGGAGTGACTTTGACGTCAAAACGAATATCTCTAGGAAAGTCGTATTTTGAGTGATCTCTCAGAAAGATTGTATTCTCTAAACAGAAAGAGCTTCTGCTATTCGCCTTCTACTCGTGGAATAAACCTTCACCTCTCTGTGGTAGGAGATGATAAGACGGAGTTCCGAGGAACCAATGGCCTGCGAAGCTGAATTTGCATATTTTCAAAAGTCACACCATCTATCATTGCAACCTGACGACGCCTTTGAATACGAGGACTTCAACGATGAGCCGAAGCTGTGCGGTGATACCACTGGGTATGGGGTCACCAAGTGAGGACACTCGCTGATGAACGAAGTGCTCGTTCCGTCCGCGTTATAGGCACCAAATTCCGGCTTCTGGATGTGGAACAATCCTTCAATAGAAGAGCTCTCGTATCTTAGAGACTTTTTTTCCCCTTAGTACGGGGCTGTGATCTGCCCAGCGGTGGGTTGAAGGGACAGGGTCCTGCCTTAGGATGAGCAGGGTGATAGGTGTCATCGCCACAAGACAAGACAGCCTATGCTGGGCTATCTTTGACCTCATGTATCTGCATCTTGACCGCCTTCCGTCAGTCAAAGGATTAAGTGAAGAAGATCTGTGAGATGGTGACTCTTGTCCCTAACCAGGAGCATACCATCACGATGAAACTAGCTTGCAGTTGCAACTTTCATATTTCAAACCTGCCATGGGAGAAGTATCGTAGTTGAGCTACGTATGAATATCGGCAACGAGACCGGTTCCGGACCGGACGCCATCCACACACTGCTTCTTCTACCACCTATGGCCTTTGTAATAGACGATAGCAGCCCCTGAACTCACGAGAACACTTGATCCCCACTCGGCACACTATTGGATCCTATATGTATTCTGAACAGACTCAAGCAAGAAACATATATATGTCACTGATTAGAATTTCTGAATGAAACAGGAAGTGCTAATACAAGAGACGGCGAGAATGACGAAGGTGGCCAAGAAAAGTGATGGCGAGTAAGTAGAGAAGTTGCAACGGGCAGGATCACGTCGATATGTGCGAGGATACTGTGGCTTCAAGTCCTTGAATGCCGCAATGGTCGAGAAGTGCTGTCGATCTTCGACTTTGAGCCGCGAGGGCGCGCAGAAGATGTCTAGAGATATTCTCTACTCGAGGCTGCCGACGGCATTTTCCTTACCTCTACCTCACTTTCCCAGCAACTCTTCCAGCTACCCATTGTCCACAAAAGCTGCCGTTATGATCGAACGCCTCCGATGGGAACTTTGCGTCCGGAGCGCCCTTGGAGTGAACGCTCACCATACTTCTCCAGGCTTTCATTCCGTTCTCCCTACTTTTCCAACCATGATGTACAAGTCTATTAGGAAAGCAGAAGAGAGTCAAAGTAGATGTAACCGATTATTCTATTGAGGGGTATCAAATATTACCATGTAAAACCTCGCAATGCCTATCCCGTGCGCTTTCAAACCGGATATTCCAGATGCCTAACCTACAACTCGTCAAAAACCCTCAACCTGTCCTCTTCCTCTCTTCCACCGCGATCTCCCCATAGCGGCGGCACATGCCTTTCCTGACTCCCGTCACCCTTGCTATCGACACCCAAGCCTGGAGTGCGATTAGCACCCTTCTCAACAATCTTGGCAGCGACGTCCTCCAGGTCGACACCGCCAACCTGCTGCGCATACTGTGCACCGATAAACAACAGGATCAAGATGGCGAACACGACAGACATGACGATCCAGACAGTCCGCAACCTCTTGCGCGTCTTCTCCTGCCACTCCCTGTCTGCCCTCTCCCATCCCTCGATGCGTCTCCTGACAAGGTCAACCCTCTCCCCGAGCCCTTGAATCCGCGTCCTGCCCTTCTCGATCCTCGTCTGCAATGCCTCGATGCGTTGCTCCTGTTCGTTGAACTGCCCAAAGGTAGCCAGCTGCCCGTCGATGTCCCGCGCCATCTCTTCGGCTTCGCGCTCAAACTCCCCCGTCAGCCGCCGAGACGCCACCGCCAGCTCCTTGATCGCCGATATGGTATTGTGCAGCATGCTCTTCTTCTCGAGGACGGAGTAGTACGTCTCGTCAAGCCGGCGCGTCGTCGTCGTTGAGAAGCTGCTCAGGTCCACGAGCGACTTCTTCAAACCCCTGCATATCGCATCGAGTCAGTATGGAACACACCCCTTTTTCCTTTGCGCGCAATATTGAAACATACGTGACCCTGTTGGCAGTCCTCTCCTTCTCCACCACCAGTGAAGTCGCAGTATTGGCTTTCTTTCCCTTCCCTCGAGGCGGCGAGACGTTCAAAGAATTCTCCCCACCCCCGAGCATGGGGCCAACAAGGGCACTCGTCCGTCTGCTCGAGTCCGGACTCCTGCTGGGCGTCGCGAACTCCGACCTCGTCATGTCGAGCGAGCTCCTCCCCAACACCAAGCTCCGATCAGCCGCCGACAGCCCGGGAGACCTCTCGTCTGGGAAGAGGAACTTGCTGCTGTTGTCCCGCCTGCTGCTGTGGTGGTGTGGCTGCGGCGTCGGGTGGTGGTGGTGACTGTGGCGGTGACGATGCATCTTGAGCGGCGGCGAGAACTCGGTGATGGAGCGGGTGATCTGGTGCCTCGGTCTGCGCGCAGGCAGCAGGGCGGCAGCAGCTGCGGTGGCAGTCGATGTTGCGGTAGCAGTTGCAGTCGCAGTCGTGGTAGCCGCGGGCGCGGGAGCAGCCTTGTCGGAGGAGGTGCCGTGGCCGTTGCCGTTGCTGTTACCGGACGAAGAGTTGCTGATGCCCGCTGCTGTCGACAACGCTGCCATCGACGCCGCCGTCGGCAGCTCGAAGCGGGCGGCGGACATGGTTTCACCTTGTTGACCGTCGTCTCTTGTTTCGTCGCTCGTGGGCCTTGGAAGTCCCAAGTTTGGCTGACTGGTGCTGGGCCGCCGACCGCCGCTACCGCGTTCGCCGCCGCGGGCACCCGGTCCAGACGGCTTTTGGGATGGGATGGGCTGGGCTGGACTGGGCCCCGGTTAGACTTTTGTGTGTAGCCTGCCTTGTCTTTTGGCTTCTGGGCTTGGGACGGTCAATGCTTCGAACGGCACAAAAGATTGTGGCTTGTTCCCTGGAGAAGGAAAAGGGTAAGCGTGTGTTGGTTGACGCGGTGTGTTAGAGAGAGGACAGCCAGCAAGCAAGCCGACAAGGAGACGGGAAGGTGGAGGTGGAATGTGCACGGTTTCGCGGCGCGGAACCGAAGCTCTCAGCACGAGTGGTCCGTCTTGGGCCAATGACGCACTTTCACATGCCCCTTACCCCAGGTTCCTCCTGTATGGCTTGCATCAACTGAAACGTCGTCTGAACCTCACTGCCGGCAACCACCCTGGCATGTTGGTTTTTGGGCCGAGGATGCAGAGAGAACCACCCAGGTTTACAGCTTCACGTCAGACGTTTATCGTTTCTATTGTCAACTATGGATTGATTCGAGCTGGTGTTGGGCTCGGTTCCATCTCCGTCATCTGTCCTCTGTTCCGATCGCAACGCGAGACGAAGTTTCGGATGGCTAGCCTCATAGGGCTTTTCGTGAGAACAATCTAGTCGCTTTTCTCTTCGCTTTTCTCTTCGCATTTTTCCCGTCTCCTGCTGGCTTACCTCACCAACTGCCTTTCGCCGGCTCCGAACTCGCCTCCGAAGTGCCGTTTCCGCGCCCGCCGTTCCGATGAACGAGCCGCACTCTAAGCACACGTTCCCCCGAAGCCGTTCCTTCCTGTCCCGTATAACGTTCACCCTCGCATGAGCCCCTGTGACACCTTGTTTGTTCGCCGAGCTGCGCGAACCCGGGAACGGAAGGCCCGAATCCTCCTTCGCTCCCCGACAGTGTTTCGGTATTTGTCAACGGGACCGGCGTTGAAAGAAAAATTTGCCGGTGCAGAGGAACTTTTGCCCGCTCAAGTGGTCTCTGTTTGACTCGGACTCGCTCATGAGTTGATCAGCTTGTTTCGTTTCTCCTTCCTCTTCAGCCTCTCCACCCGTTTCTTGTGCATCTTCTCGGCCATCTTCTCGTAACGTTCCTTCTCCTCCTTTGCGGCCTTCTTATCCTTGAGGTTCTGGATGCGTTGCTGGAAGCTGTGTCAACACGGCGTCTCCTACCAGGGAGTGAGGGCGGTCAGCAATGTACCTTGCGCTCTGCCTCCTTCTCGTCCTTCATTTCCTTCTCCTTGGCCTTCATAGCCGCCATCGCAACGCGCTCCTTGGCGCGCTTCTCGTAGGACGTCAAGCCTGACGTCGGCCTGAAGGCCTTCTTGGGCGCATGCCATTGCTTGCCTGTCGCAGGGAGAGTCAGCTGGGTGCGCCGTATCGGCCGGAGAATGGGGCAGATGAGGTACCATTCTTCCGCATGCCAAGCGGCTTGTCGGCAGCGGAGGTCGTGGCCGTAGCCGTGTCTGCGGACATGATGGGAGCGTTGAAGAATTGCAGAGCTGGAGGCGGAGGAACGTTAATCGAACGTTAATTTGCGCAGTTGAAATTCGCTGTTCTGCGGACGGCTGGAAAGTTTGCCATGTCGAACAGAAAAATTTCGGCGGGACACAAGGCTGCAGAGACGGCTAGCGCGTCCGACCAACCAGTAAAGTTGTGCCTGTGGCGGTACGACTCCACAAATTAAAGGACGTGCATAAAATGTGGCTAGTGCTTCATGAAGGGTCCAGCGTCCTGAATCCTTAACCAGGGGGGGGGCGCGCATGAGGAATGCGAGCATCGGGAATCAATGTCGATGGGGGTTTGAATTGACAATTTCGATCGTCGGGGACAGAGACACGATGCCCAACCATTGACCAGATCGTTCGACAAACGATGGTCTGTACTTCCAGAAGCCTCGGACAGAAGCCTCAGACGCTGCGTGTCTACGGGAGAGGCTTTTCCCGTCACACATCAATAAAAGATTCGATGCGCCCCCCGTTGTTTGAAATGACGCCTAAGATTCGTTTCCAAGAAATTGTTGGTCATACGTCGGGAGGTCGCCAGCTTTCATCAAACGGTCGTGGCTTAGGGCTGGGCCCGGCCTTGAGACATTACGTCGTTATGTGCCTCGAAGAAATGCCATCCAGCTCAGCCTTTGGCAGTGTTATGATTGGTCTCATTGTTGAGATGACGGCCACGGAAGCAGAAAAGACGTTGACAGTTGGGTCAGCGGGACTAATCAGACAGATTGCAATGGAATTGCACCCAGCAGATGACGGCTGATATCCGGTATTGAGCTGTGGTGGTGGTGGCTCGTGAGGCTGCCGAGATGAACGCGGCAGACGTTTTCAGTCTCCAGTTGCCAACTTGGTCACCAATATCAGAATTTGGACACGACATCCCTGCTCGTTTGACCAATCGAGAAGTCCCGTACGCGTTCGAGGCCGCGTTAAACTTGGATATCCCAGACTGCAACCCCAGGTTCCCGATGCGAGGGCCCCAAAGATCCTCTTAGATGATGGGTGCTTGGCCACCTGAAGCAGGGATACCGGCGTCGTTTGATCCCGAGGAGTGAGATTAGGTAAAGGACAGCTGGCAGTGCACAAAAATTTGAACAACGGCAGTGTTGAGAGAAAATTGTGATGACTTGCCCACCGCTTCCTGTCATTAATGTCATTACCGAGGCGTGGGCGGCGTGGGGTTTGCTGAAAGCGGCTGGTAGTCATCTGGCAGGCGAAATTACCTTGGGTCATCCGCAATTCGACTGGACCCGGCGCGGTGCGCTCTGATTTGCCGCTCGCCAACGCTGATTGAGGGCTGGGAGGCTGGCGCGGGAAAGACTGGTATTCTTAGAACAATTTGGCAGATCGGATCGGATATGAAATGATGCAAGGCAGGATGTTTTGGGCCGGAGCCGCGCTTGCAAGACTGACGAGAGGTCGGGGAAAGAAACATTGGACAAGGGAACAGGAGGAAATGGGTCTCATTGAGAACTGAGCCATCCTGGTCCGGTGGAGATGGTTGCCAGCCAAGGAGGCAAAGCATCAATCACGAGGAGGATTTTTGTTCCCTGCCGGGAGATGAGGGCCTCCCCAAGGAGGAACTGGTCCTGATTTCCCCATGCAGGTGTGTCTGATGCAGAGAGGGAGTCCACGGTGTCGTGGACCAGGCCACGAACCCGACGCCGACTGACAATGATTCCAAGGGAATCTCGGTAACCAACGCTACCAAGGCAATCAGGGCAGTCAATCATGTTGGACATGTCGCCGGCCCAAACTTTCCAAGTTGTCGGGCGCTGATTGAAAGCTGCTACTGACGTACGTCCTATGCCGTGTGTATCTATCATGGCACTTGCCATGCCATCCCGTCGACAAAATCTGCCGACTGGTGACCGCAAGTTCTTCGTGTTGTTATCAGACGTTTGAACCTCAATTCGGCCTCGATTGGTACGTGGCGTCATGCAGGTCCGTCTGTGCACCACTTCCAGCTTGCATTCGCGCGGGTGGGTTTGGATGCAACACGAGTGATTGACAGGACAGGCTGGATTCTGGTTCGAGTGAGACGGAGGCGCGGAGGTTATCTGCACCTGCAGCGCAGCTGCAACTCTCAGGGAGAGAGACACGACTACGGCGGCCCTGGATAACTCTGTAGTCACTCGATGCATGGCATGGTCGACCGGCAACAGGACAGCGGGCGCCTGTTTGTTGATTCCCGTTGCAACGGGCGACTCGAAACAATTGAAGGGTCATGAGCAGAGTACCAGCCCGCTAAGCAGGCTAATAACGTCGTCGTTTGGGGAGCTTCGCCTTCTTTGTCCACTGCCGTCAAGCCGCAAAGAAACGGCCCTGTCGCACAAAGAACCTGCCCGTTTCCCATCGTTCGCCACCAAGCGTTGGATGAATCGTCTTATCAAACTGTCGAACCGCAAATCGAAAAAAAGACGGCGGCGGACCGAGTCGCTGCGATTACTGGCATCCTGCACCGCGAGAGACCATCGGCCCCGAGGCCAGGGACACTGAGTCAAGATGCGGCTCCAAGCCGTAGCAACGTGAGGAAAAACAAACATTAGAGTTCATGCCGCTTGATACTCTCTTTGTTCTCTTGTCGGAAGTCAAAAGCCTTGCGTCGTTTCTTGACAATCGCAGTAAACATCGTGGCTATGTCTCTCCACGCCGAGCGACCTGGCGATCAAGTCCCTGGTTTGACACAAAACAGCGTACCCATCTGGTCCTGCAATCGGGTGTCTTCGGCAACGGGCGCTCTGTGCATAGAAACCTGGTCTGCGAGTGACAGAAAGAGGCACAGTCCCATCTGGGGTTCGCGTCGTGTTGCCTCCATCCAGCTCCAACTGTGACATGTTCCCCCACCAAGAGGCCGGGGTTGAGAGATGGGGCGTCAAATACGGGAAACATGGGAGAATTAAGGTACTTCCATCCCATCTTCCCGCACACAGCAGACATTTGGAGGCATCCGGACTTTTTGCTGCATCAGTTACCATTAGTGGGAAAGGAACGCTGGCTGCTCTCAAGTGTGAGGCAGCACGAGCACCCAAAAACGACGTTGACAGATGATGTTTTCGGCGAGAGGTGCCGGGGTGACGGATCGCACTGAATGATTGGTCCCGGCCCCAAATACGAAGCCAGACAGACCAAGGTTGGCTCCGGCATCCATTCACAGAACCGTACATAGTGACAGAGAAACTTGGAAGTTCAGCGCACTACGTTTCGGTCCTATGCTAGAGACTGACGGGTTATTGCTACAGGTGGTCTTCCCCCAGGCCGCAGGGCCATTCCAGACTAAGGAAAAAAGCAAGTAGATCTGCCAGGTGCTATCGGTCATCTGGCCGATTGATTTAATATGGAGATGGGAGGGGTCTTTGAGGCTTGGGGGTGTGTGGCCCCTCGTCTGCGGTCTCCATCCCTCGTTCGTCGCGCCTCCAGGCTTTTTGGGGGTGCGCGGGCGCTGTGCGCCCTAGCAGCAAAGAGTGACAGAGCAAAAGTGACGACGGGGACTTGGCACATGCGTTTTGCACCCTTGACCGTCCCTGGTTCGAGACGAGGAGCCATTCAGAGGCGGCCGTTGCATCTGGACGTGGAGGAGGAATTCGGCTCCTACGCCGCTCCAAAGCAGCCACATTAGAACAGTCCAGTGAGAAGGCTGTCCACACACACTTGCTGCTTGACCGCTTTGGCGACGGCTCCGGATTGAAGGCAAGAATCCGAGGCGTTGGACCGTATTGCGGCGTAGCTGTCGAGATGAGTTGAGTCGAGTCGAGGCATAATTCGAAGACGGCTCTGGATTCTGGAAAGTTGAAACTCGTCCGGGTGGCTCGGGTCGGGGAGACGAAGCCAATAACAGGAGATTGTCTTTTCTGTGTGCAGCCAGATGACGGAGCGAAAGTGTAAGTGAACGGCGCGGTGCTGGCTGTGCTGTGCAATGCCTTGCTGAACTTTGGCAAGACAGACGGACGACAGGGCGTGACATGACTTGGCCGGGCTTGACTTTGCTGTCTCTTCGTCTCGTCTGTTCTCTCAACGACGTCGAGGCTCTGCTCTTGACTCTGGCTTTCTCTGCCATTTGCCGTAAATGGGGCGATGGCGACGATGGAGGGGGCGTGGGTGAAGGCAAATCAGGCGGTGCGGTGCCTAGAGAGGCAATTGTCTGCTAGGGCGACCTTCTTTGGGCAGGTCGGAGAAGCGATGATTCGTCTGGTGTACGCCTGCCATGTGGTGGTCGTCTGGTCCCGTCATTGTTAGCATCAGATTTCTCCGGTCGGCATCGGCTGCTAGGGCAGAGAGGGCGGAGGTGCCGTTGGTTGAGCTGAGCTGACCCGAGCTGAGATGGATTGGAGCTGGTAGTCTGCTCAGTAGTAGGCCGGCGACACCTGTCTAGTGAGGCAGATGTCTTCTGGATGTGGTGGTTGCGGCTGCTTCATTGCGGGATTTGCTATGGTCTGCGTTGCCTCGCGTTGTCCTGGCCCGGGTCCATTTCCATGTCTAGGACCAGTCAACTTGCTGAGCTCGTAAGGGCCGTAAGGACCACAAGAAAAGGCGCCACGCTAGCAAAAGACTTAATGGCTTCTATTCCGAAGGGAAGTTTCTTGCTCTGGCCGTGCGCGTCGGCCGGCTTGCTCATGGGATGCGCTTGTTGTGCCTTGCCGTCGTGAGTGAGCTTGGGCAAACGTAGGCAGGTACGAATAGGTATTCAGCAGCGATCAGCAGCTACGTAAGGTACAGAGCAGGTACGTACCGCCACGGATATGCTGTGCTAGAGAAAATAATGGAGGGTCTCGATGCACGACACACCACGCAAGCTACTAGGTAGGTTTCTACGAATAGGTGATTGGGTACCTCGAGTGTGCACTGGCTTGACTGGGCTTGATACTCCAGAGAGGAGGGCGCAACGCCCCTGTTTCCGCTCCCGTTTCCCTTGCCCTTCCCTTCCTTCCCCTGGGGGGACGGGAAGCACCAGGCCTTTGACTTGCAGGCGAATGA